CTTCCCCCACCCCTACGTGTCACCCACACATTTACTGCATCACTGGCTCCAGTGGCCAGGAGGGACCCTGAAGGTCATTGAGGCCACTGCCCTATCTCTGGTCCTGCCTCTCCTTTCAGATCATGGGGATAGAAGGAGCTTTAGAGATCACCAGAACCCCTGAATCCCAACCACCTGAGGGGATTTTAGCAAACACAGAGTCTTACCCTGCACCCCAAGATTCTAATTCAGGTTCCTGGGAAAGGACCAGGAATTGTTCTCATCAGCTCCCCAAGCAAGCAGCCCACAGGCAAGAGTTTGGAAACCACCCATCACTAAGCAGTTATTTACTGAGCACCTACTATGTGCCAGGCGCTGTCCCAGGTTCTGGGGGACTAGTGTGAATGAGGCAGAGCTAGGCCTCTGCCACCATGGCTCCCAGGCTCCCCTTACTAGATGGAAGGGGAAACCGAGGCTCCGAGTGGTGGAAGACCAGTTGGGGGTGGCAGAGCTGCTCTGGCTTCAAGCCCGTTCCCCCCTCCACTGTTACTGGGGCTCGATGAAGATGGGGAGATGTTGAGGGGCTGGCATGTGGGGGAAACGGCTTGGGGAGGGAGTTGCCACCCCCTTGCTACCTTTTTCCCAGTCTCCCGGTGCTCATGGGGGGGGGAGGGGGAGGGGGCACTGAGGATGTGGACACGCCGTGCCTGCTGGCTGACTGGTGCGGGCTGACTGGTGCGGGCTGGCTGGTGCTGGCCGTGTGATTGTAGCCAGCAGCTACTGGAGGCCAGAGGTGGGTTTGGGATGTTAACAGGGCGGCCCTTTGATAGGTTGCGGTGGCCAAGGCGATGGGGGGCCCCAGTCCATGCAGAGCAGCAAGCCCGCGCCTCACCTCCCACACACAACACACACATGCTGCTATTTGGGACTGACTTGGCCTGGCATCTGCAGGCAGAGGGTGGCCAGGGTCCCAGGATGTTAACGTCATTGAAGGGCCATCATGATTTTCAGAGGCGGCGGGGAACTTTGTTTGTGGGAAGTAGGGAGGGCAGTTTTCCCAGATCTCTTGCCCAAATCTTTCAAAAGTGGCATCAGACAAAAATCCTCTGCTTTGTGCCTGAAACTTGCCCTGGCTGATTCAGCCACAGGAGCTCAAGGAGATCCGGGCAGGTAAAAAGCCACACAGTCTGGGTCTGGGTTCAGCCTCTGCTGTGTGACTTCAGGTGAGTGACCGCACCTCTCTGATCCTCCATTTATCATCTACTAAATGGTGATGCTGTCCCGAACTCACAGGGTGCTGGGAGGATGGGTGAACTGAGTCACAGACTTAAAGGGCCCGGCACGTAGCCAGGGTGCAACACGCTTATTTCCTCGACATGCCCTCCCTTGCCCCCCCGTGCCCTGGCTCCTACCCTCTGGGGTGCAACAGAGTCTGGGCATTTACCTAGAAGCCTTGTGGTTTGAGAGGCAGTTTTCTGAGGCTGGAGAGGCTGGACACAGGATCAAGTCTAAGTTCCTCCCCAGGCCCTGGGCCTCGGATTCGCTGCCTCTGCCCTCCCCGTCGGCCTGCGCCCCGCCTCTGAGCGGGGTGGGCTGTCAGCGCTGTGCAGGCTTGGCGCCAGGCAAACCTGGTGGGCGTCCCAGCTCTGCCCCTTGGCCTCTGTGACCTTGGACAAGCAGCCTCCCCTCTTTGAGACTTCATTTCTTTGCGTTGGAATCATGCTGCCTTTGGGGTCTGTGAGCACTCACTGATTGGGGGGTGTTGGCACACAGCAAGGGGGCAGTAGCGGCAGTTCCCTTGCCTTTGGCCCAGGCCTTCCTCCCCTCTCCCTTCTCTGCTTTTTCAAACCCATCCACACCCAGCACCGAGAGCCCAGGGCCTTGACCCTCGGCCCCTGCAGCGGACCTGACCCCTCACCATCTACGGGTGTATGATTTCCGCCGCCAACGCCCGGGGGCCCAGCCTGCGGCGCGGGCTTCGTGGCTCTGGTGGCTGCTCTGGGCTGCATGGCTCAGTGGGCCCGGGCGGCTCCGGTCGGTTTGTCAAGGACACTCTTAATGGCCACAGTGAACCCCGGCGGGGCGGGCGGGGGGAGGAGGGGCAGGATGCTGATTGGTGGAGCACGTACCTGTGCAGGTACACCTGCTGCAGGCACAGGAGCCTCTGTTAGAGGACAGGCTGGGCCACTGCAGGGCGCCGGACACAGGTGAGGGGCCTGCCTGCAGGGCCGGGGTGGACCTGGGTGGACCTTGCCAGGGCCAGGTCAAGCAGGGTGGGAGCAGGAGGGTGGGGGGCAGGGAGCCAGCCCCTCATTTCCACCGCCACAGGCTCTCCTTAGGGACCTGGGGTTTTCCTGCCTCTGGGGCCTGAGCTGAGGGGAAGGGGGCTCGGGACCCGCAGGAGGAGTCGGAGCCATCCTTGGGGACCAGCAGTGAGAGAGAGTGACTTGCTGGGCGAGGAGGCTGCTCTGAGCACTGGCGGCAGACAAGTGTCCGGGACGGTGGGGGCGGAGGCCTCAGGAGGGGGAGGGAGCTCTGAGGCTTGGGGACCTGTTTTGACCAATTTGCTGCTGGACACGAAGGGCACAGATAGGAACCCCCAGCCCACCCCACGCATCACACGCACGCTCAGTGACGCCCCAGGCACACCAGGCTTATGTCCCTCCCGATAACTTTACATGAGCCCGCACGCCCACACCCCGCACACACGCGCACACGTGCACAGGATCTGGGAGCAGCAGCATTGGACGGACCAAGGGCTGGTGTGAGGGCCTCGGAACTGCTCACCACAGTCGCCAGCCTGTAGCTGCACCAGGGACCAGATGGAGGAGCTGGTTGGGCTGCGAGAGGGCTCCTCGGGGAACCCCGTGACTCTTCAGGAGCTATGGGGCCCGTGTCCCCGCATCCGCAGGCGCATCCGAGGTGAGGGCCCGTCCCCTTCCCCTGCCCATGGAAGACCCCGCGGGGCATCACCCCCCACCACGAGCTGCCCTCCCCCTTTTATCTGCCCTCGGACATCACTGCCCAGCCTCCTGGTGACCCGGAGGGAAGGGATCTGTCTGTCTGTCCATCTGTTTATGGGTCAGACATGCCAGGCGCCTGCCCCCGAGGCCTGATCGCTGTGTAGGGGCCACGCTAGGGGCCCAGTGGGTGCTCTCTGGCCCGACACCAGCCCCACGGGTCCTGGGACCGCATGGGAGTTTGCTGGAGGCTCACGTTAAGCCACGGGCCCTGTGGGGATAAGGAGAGGGCTGTGGCTCCCAGCACGCCCTCCACACCCCTGCCCCTTGGTCATTCTTCCGGAGGTACCCCAGTCTGGAGCAGGGGTGGGGGAGGGCAGACCTGTCAAAGCCCCCTGGGCTGGCCCTCCTGCCCGAGCAGAGGCCAGCCTCCAGGGGAGGGGCTGTCTGTGCCCCACCCGGCCCTGGGCTGTGACCCCACGCCCCTGGCCAGGTGGCCTGGAGTGGCTGAAGCAGAAGCTGTTCCGCGTGGGTGAGGACTGGTACTTCCTGGCCACCCTTGGGGTGCTCATGGCCCTAATCAGCTATACCATGAGCTTCACCGTGGGGCGCGTGGCCCGAGGTAAGCCCTCCCCACCCAGGGCTTGTGGGCGCGCTCTCGGGATGCCAGAGGCACCACCAGGTGCAGCGGGGTGGGGGAGGGGTCCGGGCGGGAGGAGGCCTGGGTCTGGTCCTGGCAATGCTCTTGACTTGCTGTGTGACCCTCCGTAGGCTCCTGCCCCTCTCTGGGCCTCAGTCCCCTCATCTGCACAATGAACGAGAGAGACCTGAGTGTCCCCAAGAGCCCCTTTCCTCTGAGCTCCATGTTCCTCTCCTCCTGCCGCTGGACTCCCTCTCCACCTCCCCACCCGCCCTCCTTGCTCTCAACTCCCGTGGCTCCGGGGAAGGGCACTTGCCTGGACCACTAGGCCTCAGCAGGCTCTCTCCACTCCGAGGTCTCCCTGGAAGAGGGGGTGCAGGAAGGGTGTGACCTGCCTTCTCTGGGAGACTTGCTCAGGTGGCATCATGAGGACCAGCTGTGCGCCGGACACTGTCCGAGGCGTTTCGCGCGCGGTCTTATTTCTCACCGTGAGCCTGTGAGGGAGGTACCGGCACTAGCCCATTTGACAGACAGGGAAACAGAGGCCCTGAGAGCTTGAGCCGCTGGCCCAAGGTTCCTCAGCTAGGGAGTGGCAGCACTGGGTAGGGATCCAGGGTCCTGCCCCTGCCTCTCTTGGGGATCTGCCCCTCCCTGGGGGGCCCGGGCCTCCCCTCGCCAAGCCTGTGTTTCCTGGTCAGTAAGTGGGCACCCGAGGGCTGTGGAGTCTGTGGGTGGTCCCTGATTCCTGGTTGTCCCCAGCACACAAGTGGCTGTACCGGGAGATTGGCGACAGCCACCTGCTCCGGTATCTCTCCTGGTCCGTGTACCCCATGGCCTTGGTCTCCTTTTCCTCGGGCTTCTCACAGAGCATCACGCCCTTCTCAGGAGGTGAGCCCAGTCACCACGCCCTTTGCCTGGGTGCCTTGCATTGCAGTCCCCACCGGCCCAGACCTTTTCCTATCCCTCGAACGACTCACGGGTGGAGGCAGGAAGCAGTATCCCTATTTCAGTCACAGAAGCCAGGCTCAGGGGAGTTGTGTCACTTCCCCAAAGTCACACAGCAAGAAGGCCAGAGCTTGACTCCTGGGTTGATGATAGCCCGGCCCCTTTCAGAGAGCTCTACTGGGCTGTGACAGGGAGAACTGGTGGCAGGTTCCCCTGCAGGGCCAGTGCCAAGAGTGTTCCCAGGGAGGGGCTGATGGAGGTTGCCGCTCTCCCCAGGCCTCTCAGCTCTGCCCCCAGCTCCAGGTCAGCAGATGGGAACCCCAGGGGTGCGTCTAGGATGGCCTGAGATTCTATCCTGGGCTCCCCCCAGTCTGCCAGGCCCAGCTGGAAGGACATGGGACAACTCACGTCCCCTTTCTGACCCTCGGCTTGATCGCCTGAAAAATGGGTGGATGGGTCTTAATTCCTAGGGTTTAAAAGGACCCGATGGAGGGTGGTGTGGAACACTCTTTGCAGGGTAAGGTGTTAGGAGTTTCATCCAGAGCGTGTCCCTCCCCCTGCCAAGGGTCTGGCCTCCCGGAGCTGAAGACCATCCTGTCCGGGGTGGTCTTGGAGGACTACCTGGACATCAAGAACTTCGGGGCCAAGGTGGCGGGCCTCACCTGCACCCTGGCCACCGGCAGCACCATCTTCCTGGGCAAAGTGGTAGGTGCCGGCGGAAGAGCACCTCACCCCCCTGCCCTGCTGTCCCCACTTCTGCCTTTCCCCTGTCGCCCCACCCAAGCTTGGTCAGATGGGGCTCAGGCCAATGCCCGCCTTCTGGGTCTGGGTCTTGGAGGGGAGGCAGGACAGGTCCCCAGAGTGTGAGGAAGGGGCTGGGGAGATGGAAGAGGCGGGTGTGGGGGGTGACCATGCTGTGTCTGGGGGAGGCCCCCTCTGCCCTCCAAGCCTGGGCCCTGAGGGGGAGGAGCGAGGGCCCAGCGCCCCCCCAGGTCCAGCGGCGAGCTCCGTGGGCACCTCCCCTGGCAGGGCCCCTTCGTGCACCTGTCGGTGATGATCGCCGCCTACCTGGGCCGCGTGCGCACCAAGACCATCGGGGAGTCCGAGGTAAGGGGCTCAGGGAGGGCTCCCCGGGGAGGAGTGAGAGGGGGGGGCTGACTCTGAGCCCAGGACCCGGATCCCCCAGAACAAGAGCAAACAAAACGAGATGCTGGTGGCGGCAGCAGCGGTGGGTGTGGCCACGGTGTTCGCGGCTCCCTTCAGCGGTGAGACCCCCCTTGCACCCCTCTCCTTGCACCCCCTTCCCATCCCCTGCAGGGGCCAGGCTGGCCAGCTCGCCCCTCTGCCAGCTGAGGGCCTGGAGGAGGGAGGAGGTCCTCAGGGTGGGGTGAGTGAGTGGGTGCCCAGGCACTTCGGGGTTCGCTCAGACAGACTCGGGGGTGAGATCTGGCTCTTTGTGGCCCTGGACCAGGGGGTTCGCCTCTCAGCCTCATCTCATCTGTGCAATGGGGTCACAGCGGTCCCCACCCCACAGGGCTGCTGTGAGGACTGGGTGGCTGAGGGTGCACAGGGGCAGGTTCCCTGGACAGTGGAGTCCCCTCCCTACCCGGCCCTCAGCTCAGGACCAGGGAGAAGGGCGGCCCTGTCTGCAGCCCCAGGGGAGCGGGAGGGGACAGGAGGGGCCGGGGCACCGGGATGGGCACGCTGGGGGCTCTGCCCAAACACAGCGTCGCCCCCAGGCGTCCTGTTCAGCATCGAGGTCATGTCCTCCCACTTCTCGGTCTGGGATTACTGGCGGGGCTTCTTTGCGGCCACCTGTGGGGCCTTCATGTTCCGCCTGCTGGCCGTCTTCAACAGCGAGCAGGGTGAGTCCCCCCACCCGGATCCCCGACACCTCCCCTCCCTCTCCCCTGCCCCCCTCCTCTCCTTCCTCTCCCATCCCCATCTCCTAGGAGGACAGATCCTGGAGGGTAGAAGCGACAAAGCCGGGCAGGGAGCAGGGCCAGGGCCAGGGCCAGGGCCAGGGCTAGAGCCGGTGGGAGTGTGACCCCCACTCCCCTCCCTGCCCAGAGACCATCACCTCCCTCTTCAAGACCAGCTTCCGCGTGGACGTCCCCTTCGACCTGCCGGAGATCTTTTTCTTTGTGGCGCTGGGGTGAGTGGGTGCCTCGGCCCCTCGAGCCCGACCTGGGGCTCCCCTGGCCTGAACTGCCACCCCTGGTCCGGGCGGCTCGGGACTCCCCTCCCCTCCGCAGGGCCATCTGCGGCGTCCTGAGCAGCGCCTACCTCTTCTGTCAGCGGACCTTTCTCATCTTCGTGAGGACGAACCCACTCACCTCCAAACTCCTGGCCACCAGGTGGGCTCTGGGCTGGGCTGGGACCTCCCGGGGAGGCCCCCAGGGACTCAGCCTCCCGAGCCCTCAACTCCTTTATACAGGGAGCCCCACCCCCGACTGCATGCATCTTCCCACTGAGTCCCCCAGACCTCCCTGGCCCACACCCCACTTATGGAGCCCCTGTTCCCTCTGACACCCCTGTCCAGGCCCCCACAGTCCCTGTTCCCTGCCGACTGAGCTAGCAGCTCTTCCGTGTGACCCCCACCCCTCCTGAGTC